CTGAAAATATTTTGTGATGTGAAGCCACACTGATTCTAAATGATAACCTTGAAATCCATTTTATAAATCACATAATATCATTTTTTAAATTTTTATTTGTTCTTTTTAGTTATACATGACAGTAGAATCTATTTTGATATATTTATACAAGCACAGAATATATCTTATTCTAATTAGGAACCTAGTCTTGTGGATGTACACAATACTGAGATTCACCATGGTGTATTCATATATGTAAACAAGAAAGGTATATCAGATTTATTCCACTGTCTTTACTAATCCTATCCCCACTTTCTTCCCTTCATTCCCCTTTGTCTAAAACAACTCTAGTAAAAATCATTTCAATGTAATCTTTCAAACAAAAAAATATTTACTTTTGTTCCCACTGTTGCATTTTATACTACAATATCCCAGGTGATAAGCACTGTTGGCTACATCACATTATCAGGAAAAGTTAATTTAAAAAGATACCGTGGAGCTGGGGTTGTGGCTCAGTGGTAGAGTACTTTCCCTGTATGTGTGTGAGGCACTGGGTTTGATCCTCAGCACCACATTAAAGAATAAATCGTTATTATGTTCAACTATAACTAAAAATATTTTTAAAAAACAGATACAGTATTTTAGAACAAAAATTGGATAGATACGGTGAAATCCCAGAAACTCAGAGGCTGAGGTAGAAAGATCACAAGTTCCAGGTAAGTCTGAGCAACCTGGCAATATCCTGTCTCAAAATAAAAACTTAAAAAAGGCCTGGGAATGTAGCTCAGTAGTAGAGCACACCTGGGTTCAATCCCAAGCATTACAAAATCGTGATCCACAGTATGTAGCATCTTAATTCTTAAAGAATAGGTCTTTCTCGGTCCACAAATAAAGTGGGTATTAGTACTTCTGTCTCCTTTTAGATAACAAGTTTGCAAAGGAATTTTCTTCCATTGTAGTACTTGACTATTGACTTGCATGAGCAGATTTCATTAACATGATCTAGATCATCACCACACTGGACATTCCATTCTTTTTTTTTTTCTTTCTTTCTTTCTTTCTTATTTTATTAGTCCTTTTTATAGTTATACATGACCACAGAATTCATTCTGATATAATTATAAAAGCATGGAATACAATCTTTTCTACTTTGGACATTCCATTCTTAACCCACTCTGAACTTTCATTTTTAGGTTAAGTATCATTAATTTTGTAGATTTCCTTAGTCGCTTTTATTAATCCTGTCAAATGGCTGAGAGATTGTTTATAAGTAAAAAAATCTTTCATCATTTCACATTAATAAGTATAAAGGTACTAACTGGCTATTTGCAAAACATCTTCCTCACAGAGTACTTGTTTTCATGGTCACTTGTTAACAGGTAAGAAAGCCATTGCTAACTACTTATTAGCAAAGGTTTTCTGTATATTTTCATAAAAGTGATTATCTACATTTCTATAAAATGCAGCTGAACACTTTAGAACCTAAAAATAGTATTTATACTATAAGAAACTGCTGTCAAAATAAAATGATGAAACCAAACAAATTTTTGAGCTTTACTAAGTGCTATGGTTCACATATGAGGCAATATCCCAAAGCTCCTATATCAATTCAGGAATGTTTAAAGGTGAAATAACCTAATCAGTCCATCCTAGCTTGAATGGACTGGGTGGAGCTATAGGCAGGTAGGTCACTAGTGTTGTACCCTGGAAGGATTCATCTTCCCTGTGGCCAATTCCATGCCCCATCCCCTCTGCTTCCTGACTCACCATGAACTAAACACTTTTCCTCTGCTGCATCCCTCTGCCATGAGAAGCTGCCTCACCTTAACCCCAGATTCAGCCAACCAGGGACTAAACCTATGGAACCATGAGCCAAAATTAACTTTCCCTCCTCTAAGTAGTTCGTGTCAGGTATTTTGATCACAGCAATGTAAAGCTGATTGACAAACTGAGCTTGTTTGACTCTATAAAAACCACTTATAAAAAAAAGTTCATAGGGAAGGCTCTATTTAGTAAATATAAGCTAATGATTTCATAATTGATCTGACTTCATAAATATCTATTACTCTATCTTCTCTTTTTGCCCATATTGTCTAAAATATATCTAAAATAAATAATAAGTACAATCCAAAAAAATCTCTTAGTTGTCCTATTTCTTATATCATTAATTCAATGTCACATAGCTTTACTTCAGTATACAAAAGAATCAAGCTGATATGATCAAGTTCTCCATAAAAGTTTCTTATAAATGAATTTATTTACATATTTTTACAAAATTGGTATATCATTCCATTAGTGCCTAAACTCAAATAATTCTTTGAAATAAGAACAAACCAAGCTTTTGTTGTTATTGTTGTTTACTTGTTTTTATGGTGATATGAGGAACTGAATCCAGGGACACTCAAGAACTGAGCTATATCCCTAAACTTTTTATTTTCAGACAGGATTCTTTGCCTCTTGAGTTGCTGGGATTATAGGCATGCACCACCACAGCCAACAAACCAACCAACCTTCAAACATGATACTGAACTATTCCAACCGATGTACAAAAAAGCCAGGAACTCATACAAACCACTGTAGGTATCCAAAATTAAAAGTACAAAAAAAAAAAAAAAAAAAGCACAAACTAGGTATTAGGAGATTTGTAACCATTAAACTACTTTAAGAAATGGAGCAAATCATAGTTTCTTTTTTATTCAAATCAAGGAAATGGGATAAATTATGTATCTCTAATCAGGGTAAGAAAACTGCCAATAGAATCAAAGAATTATAGGTCAAGACTAATGATCCAATCTTTTCATGGGTAAAATTTAACATGCAAATTTGGAGGACAAGTATCATTAAGGAAACAATCAAGAGCATGAAGAGAAAGCCTACAAAATGAGAGAAAATCTTTTTTTGCCACACACACCCCAGACCGGGCACTAATATCCAGGCTATACAAAAAAACTCAAAAAACTTCATACCAAAAACCCAAATAACCCAATCAATAAGTGGGGAAAGGAACTAAAATGACACTTCTCAAAAGAAGAAGTATGAAAGGTCAACAAATATATGAAAAAAAATGTCTAACATCTCTATCAATTAGTGAAATGCAAACTAAAACTATAATGAGATTTCATCTCACTCCAACCAGAATAGAAATTATCAAGAATACAAGTAACAATAAATGTTGATGAGAATGTGTTGAAACAGGTACGCTCATATATTGCTGGTGGTACTGCAAAATGGTGCAACCATTCTGGAAAGCAGTATGAAAATTCCTCAGAAAATTAGGAATGGAACCACCATTTAACCCAGTTATCCTACTCCTCAGTATACACCTAAAGGATTTAAAATCAGCATACTACAGTGACACAGCCATATCAATGTTTACAGCAGCACAAATCACAATAGCTAAGCAATAAAACCAACCTAGATGCCCATCAACAGATAAATGGATAAAGAAAATGTGGTGTATATATACAACAGAATATTACTCAGCCATAATGAAGAATAACTTTATGACATTAAACAGTAAATAGATGAAATGGAAACTATCATGCTAACTGAAATAAGCCAATCCCCAAAAAAACAAAAGGTCAAATATTCTCTCTGATATGCAGATGCTAACACACAATAAGGGAGGGAAAGAAGAGAAGTTCAGTGGAGTAGACAAAGTGGAATGAAGGGAAGTGAGGGAGAATGGGAAAAGGAAAGACAGTGAAATGAATCTGACATAATTGCTATGTACACATATGAATATACTCAATCTCACCATCTTGTACATCCATAAGAAATTAATTTAAAAAATAACTATGGATAAAGGCAGAAAGATCAATAGAGGAAAGGAAGCAGAGGGTGGGGAGAAGGATGGGGAAGGAGAGGTATTGGGGTTTGAATTAGAACAAGAGATAGTCCATGCTTGTATGACTATGTCAAAATGGATTCTACTGTCATGTATAACTAAAAAGAATCAATAAAAAAAGAAAAAAAAACAAAGGGCATACACTATGAAAATAGTAAACATGACAGGGGTTGTGGCTCAGTAGTAGAGTGCTTGCCTAGCATGCATGAGGCACTAGGATCGATCCCCGGCACCACATAAAAATAAACAAATAAAATAAAGATATTGTGTCCATCTACAACTAAAAAAAATATTTAAAAAAACAGTAAACAGTTTGATGTGTTAGCAATTAAAATGCTGAAGATATATTTTCGACTACATACTTTGGATGTGACAGCTCTTACACATGAAGCTAGTGAACCTAGACTTCTTTTAACAAACAACAAAGAGTCATAAATGAGCTACTGAAGTAGAAAAGTGATACTATATATTAAAAACACACAGTAACTATTTCAGAAACAATCATCAGAGAAGTTATCTTCATTGTAATGAAAGACTTACCCTTTATTACAAGGGCACCAAAAAGCTCAGTTCTCTTGATATTTAAAATATAGAAAGCACACCTAGAAACTAAACAATTTTCTCAGCTCAAATAAATACAGTACCTATAAATGATATGCTAAATGGTAGTGAACCTGTATAAACTCAGAAAATCACTTATATTTGTTACTTGCAAATTAAACTAAAAACATTCTTCATTACAAATGATAAAAAGTATAAAAAGTAAGCTCTGGTAATTATGCTTACTGAGAAAAGGTATTAGATGGTTTTATGTATATCAAACTATTCAATTATTCAAATTATTCAATTATCTTATCAATAAGATTTCTCCATAGAAAGAAGCATAATAACACTAAAATTTACAAAAGACATAAAATGCAGGGAGTGTCTTGGAAATAGCTCATTTTAAATTACTCGAGGGAAACATTCAAAAAATTGTAGTTATTTTACCAGGAGCAATCATAGAGAAATTTTGTTAACTCCAACCTATTAAACTGTTATTAAGTTACTCATAAAGGCCTTAAGAAATTTTTTAAAAAACAAGACTGACTTTAAACTTTTGAAGTCATAAAAATATTACTAAGATTTCTAGATATTGTTTCTATACTTTCTTAAAAACATAAACTAAACTTACTGTTGGTTTTTTTCATTTAGAGTATTCATGCCCTGAAGATCAGAAAGAGGTGTTCTGGGATTTTTCCGGGTTATATCTAGCAAAAAAAAAAAAAAGAAAGAAAGAAAGAAAAAAAGAAAAAAAAGGCAGAAAATTTCAAATCAATGTACAGAAAAACTAAACACGAGAATTTTCCAAAGACAGATAAAAATTCATATTCTTCAGTAAATACTTAGTAAATATGTCACAAACACCTAGATAATAATACAAACCATGTCCCATAACTACCACTAACAAATCTGACCTATTTAGCAATGAACCCAATTAGAAAATGTAATAATAAATTATTTTATTTCTTCTTTCATTTAAATATTAACATTAGGAAATACAGAGTGACTGAGCTAAAGGGACTAGAAGTATACAAGTTCATGTCTTATTTTGATATTCAAAAAGTTTCTAATATGATCCTTTTGTATTAGGTTTCAACAACAAATATATTGTTCACATGTCCGGACCATGGATTTTAACAATCAATTGATGAAACAGATAAAGACACTGAGATGACTGTTTCCTCCTAAGGATTATCAATATTTTAAAAATATAATTTTCTTAAAAGCTCACAAAGTATCAATTTTATACCACAAATATACATAAGTATATATATGTAAGATACATTGGGAAGGAAGAAGCATCTGTATTCACGAGGACATAATCTTGAACGTAGAAAACCTAAGAAATCTACAAAAATCTATTAGTACTAATAAGTTCAGAAATATTTAGGAACTAAATCAATATAAAAAGTCATATTTTCAGAATAGCAATAAAATGATCTGAAACAAAATTAAGAAAACAATTCCACAAATAATAGCATCAAAATAATATAAATTTAACAAAACAGTACAAATGTACACATTGGAAAACTCAAAATATAGTTAAAAGAAATTAAAAGACTTACATAAACAGAATGCTATCCATGTTCCCGAATTAGAGAACATGATATTTTTAAGATGGAAATGCTCCCCCAAACTGATATACAGACCAATCTAATCTCTATTAAAATTCCAACTTCCTATTTTTATAAAAATGAACAAGCAGATCCTAGCATTAATACAGAAATGTAAGGGATCCAGAAGAGCCAAAAAATCTTGCAAATAACAAAGTTGTAGGATCCACACATCCTGATTTCAAAATTTACTACAAAGATATACTAATTGACACAGTATAGTACCAGCATAAAGACAGATATATACTTCAACAGAATAGAACCAAGAGTGTGGAAATAAACCTTTACATTTGTGATTCATTAACATGACCATTGGAGAAAAAAATAATCTTTCAACAAATTATGCTGTGAAAACTATATATCTACAGGCAAAAAGAATAAAGTTGATTAACAGACCTAAATGAAAGTACTCATACTTTTTAAAGAAAATAGGAATAAATCTTCCAGATATTGAATTAATGTATGGCACCCCCCCCCAAAAAAAAAGAAAAAATATATTAACAGGATGTCATCAAAATTAAGAGTTCTGTGATTCAAATGACACTACTACACTAAGAAGGTGAAAACAGCCAGGCATGGTGGTGCATGCCTGTAATCCCAGTGGCTTGGGAGGATGAGGCAGCCTCAGCAAAATTGAGGTTCTGAGCAAATCAGTTCAAAGCCAGCCTCAGCAAAATTGAGGTTCTGAGCCACTCAGTGAGACCCCGTCTCTAAATAAAATAAAAAAATAGGGCTGGGAAGGTGGCTCAGTGGTCAAGTGCCCCTGAATTCAATCCCCAGCACCCAAAAAAAGGTGAAAACATAACTCATGGAAAAATAATTTAATTATTTGTGTATGATATAGTATGATCTGTACGATAAGGAATTTATATTCAGGATATTAAAAGAACTCTCAAGTCAATAAAGAAAAGAACCCAATTTAAAATTGAATAAATATTCTCCAAAAACATACAAATGACTAATAAATACAGGAAAAAGTTTCAACATCATTAATCATCAGAGAAATGCCAATCAAAACTGCAATAAAATACCACTTCACACACACCAGGATAGTTAGAATCAAAAAAGAGAAATAAGGAATTTCAATGACATAGAGAAACCAGAACGTTCATACACTGCTGAGTGTGAAACAACATACTTACGCTGGAAAGCAGTTTAACAGTTCATCAAAAATAAAACACTGAACTACCACATGACCCAGCCATTGTACTCCTAAGTGTAGATATCCAAGATAATTGAAGATACATGGCCATTCAAAATTTGGTATTAAGACTATAAGGTGCTCTGTGATCAACAAACCAGTACTTTGAACAGCTACTATTTTAATTTGAACAAAAAAATGCATTCAAATTCTAAGTAGATACAATTCTACCTATGCTTGTGAACTAGAAAACATGATATTTTGGGGTTGGGGATATAGCTCAGTTGGAAGACTGCTTGCCTTGCATGAATAAACCCCTGGGTTCAATCCCCAGCATCACAAAAAAAAAATTATATATATATATATATTTTAAGATGGCAATGCCCCCCAAATTGATCTACTGATAAATCTAATCTATTATTAAAATTCTTGCTATTTCTGCAGAAATGAACAAGTTGGGGATATAGCTCAGTTGGAAGACTGCTTGCCTTGCATGAATAAACCCCTGGGTTCAATCCCCAGCATCACAAAAAAAAATCATATATATATATATATTTTTTTAAGATGGCAATGCCCCCCAAATTGATCTACTGATAAATCTAATCTATTATTAAAATTCTTGCTATTTCTGCAGAAATGAACAAGTTGATCCTAACATTACTTTGAATAGCATTTTACATGAATGCATTTTTTGTTCTATTTGTTCAGTTCCTACTTCATAAACATTAATTATCCCTATCAAAGATTATAATTTTCTATCCTTTATATTCATTCTTTTCTTATTATTGAAGCATATCATCTCATATCAGTAATTCAATTTTCAGTTGCTTCCTCTATTTCCTGAACTTAGACAAGTGCTGTTTTATGACTCAAAAATCTATTTTCAATATAATTCTGGTATTTCTTTGTCTGCTGTCCTGGGAAATTAACCCACAGCACTCTACTATCAAACTACATCCCCAGACCTTTATATTTCAATATTTAAATTTTGAGATCAACTCATGAAGTTGCCCAGGCTGGCCTCAACCTCCCAAGCTACTTGCTGGAATTACACACTCATGACATTTTATACTTTTCAATTTGTGCTACCACTTTCTTTATTGAATTCATATTCTTAAATTCTTCTTTACTATAAAGTGTGCTCACAAGGAATTTTCTCCTCCTTCAAAAACATCCGAGTGTTTCTTTCTTGAATATTCTTTAACTTCCTTATAACCCTCTATGTAACAATTTTTATATCTATTATTAAATATTTTAAACACATAAGAAACATAAGGAAAAATATACTAAACACTTCAGACTACTAACTCAGATTTAAAAATAAAGACCAGAGTATTCTACTCTCTAACTTCATTCCAAAAGCATCAAGTCCCAAGATCTCCGATTGCTGGAATTAGCCACACACACACACAAAAAAAAAAAAAAAAAAAAAAAAAATTAAAATAGCTAACATAATTATATTCAAGGATTAAAAAGAGAAAATGGTCTTCAAAAGAACGAAATGCATATTCTGAAACTGAAAAATAATTTTTATGGAAACAAAACCTTCATTCTACGCATCTAAGAATAGATCAGAATTGGCACAATGAAATTGAAATAAAACAAATCATCCAATGTAAAGAACACAAAGAATAAAATAAAAGAAAAATAACAGAGTCTGAACAATCRTTGAGATACCAAATATTCTAACATGTTATTGAAGAAACAACAGGGAGAAACTGCAACTGAAAAAAAAATTTAAACAAATTAGTCAGATTTTTCTGAATTTAATGAAAAACAATAAAGCATAGAACCAAGAGGCACAGCAAATCCCAAACTAGACAAATATAATATAAGCCAACTAGGGATATCTAATCTAAACTGCTGAAAACTGAGGCAATGACTATAGGAGAATATCTGACTTAATCATCACAAATAAAGACCACAAAAATAATGAAACAATATCTTTAAAGTGCCAATCAATACTTGGACAGTTCCTTAATGATGTCACAAATGTGTACTTTGTGAAACAATATCTCCAGTCACAAATATTAACTTAGAAATGAAAATACATTTCATATTCACAAAAATGTATTTTTATGAATTATGAAAAATATGTATTTTTCATATTCACAAAAATATATATAGCAGGGTCCTTCACAACAGTTTTAACAGTATACAACTCTTGAATTCACCAAGTAATAAATGATAAACACAATGTTACATATGCAAATGTACATAATACACATAGAATGAAACACAAGTACATATATTGTTACATGAAAAAACATGGATGAATATGTAAATCATTATGCTGGATAAACCAAATCATAACAAGAAAGAATCCATACTATATAATCCCATTTATATAAAATTTTTAGAAAAGGCAAAATTAATTTATAGTAATAAATCTTAACAGTGGCCATCTAAATGAGGTAGGAAAATGCACATACCAGAAAACAGGAATAAATATTCTTATGTAATTTTTCTCCAATATGTTTAATCTCTTTGTATTCATATTTTAGATCTGTAACAATTCTACAGCTAAATTTTGTTCAAGTTATTAGTTTTAAACTCTGTTAAAGTCAGTTCATTTTAATTTACTAGTATTATTAATGCACCTAACATATTTTGTACCATCTTATTTAAGCTTTGTATTTACCCTAATTATTGCATGATTTTACCCAAATTTCTAACTGAATTATTTTCTTTATTCTGATTTTTTATTTTGAAAGTTGCATATACATACTCATGAGTTCTTTTTTATTTCTTTTGCTTTATGCTTTTATTTTAATAACACTTATTTCCAAACACTTTATGCAACTTATTATATTGAAAATATTTTTTATTAATTGCTCATGACAATACAATGATCTTGACATATCATACATTTGAATCACATGGGATATAATTTCTCATTTTTCCAAGTGTACAGGTTGCAGAATCACATTGGTTATAAGGCCACGTATATACA